TATGTGTGCCATAATTTTAGTTAAAAGATCATACTTTATACAAGCAGTAAATTTAGGTTACAGGTACATGTACATGTATGTGTAGTTCATAGCTTTTTTAAACATATTAGTAAAGCACTCTTCTTAATGCCTATGTTTAATGATGTCCTATTATTCATTCTGAACACTACACTATTGATGATCCCATTGTGTATAATCTACTCTTGGTATTGTGTAATGGTCAGTTCCTACATGAATTGTGTAGGCGAGAATGATGGAGTTGAATGTTAGTAGAATGAAAGCCATAATTGTTTATGTTCAGGAAGTATTCTTTTACTTAAAATAACTCACAAATGTTACATTAAATGTTAATGTATATTTCATTACTTGTAGGCGTGTGTGGTCACTTATCGCCCGTCATCAAAGCAAGAAAAACCAGAGCCAGCTTTCAAGATATTTGGTACATCGCCACTTTATGGAGCAATAGAGGAACAGAAGGGAAGAATATTGAACAGAATGGACGAGCAGCTTAAAAAGCAGATACCCCCAACCCCTCCATCATCAAACAAGCAATCGTCCTCGTTTGAACTCCCTCCCCTTGTATTTGAGGGCATTCCCACGCCGGTTGGTGAGATGACCCAAGCTCAGTTACGAGGTTTTATACCGACAATACTCAAATATTCCACGGGTCGAGGGAAACCAGGCTGGGGTAAGGAAGATATGAAGCCATCTTGGTGGCCTGATGATGTCCCCTGGCAGAATGTAAGAAGTGATGTACGCAATGAAGCAGATAAGAAAGCCATGCCCTGGACTGACTGTTTGAGGAAGACAATCGTAGCTTGTTATACTCACCATGGTCGTCTTGATCTCCTTGAGGCTGCCGTCAGTCGGAAGAAGGAGGGAGAGGAGGAAGAGGGAGGAGAGAGGGAGGGTGGGGGAGGAGGAGATGGTGGGGATGAGAGGAGTGAAGCAGCAAGACAGTTGCAGCTGCAAATAGAGCAAGATCAGAGTATTGATTTCTCAAATGTCATGAGCTCAAGTAATGGGGTTAATGAGCTAACAGGAACACAGGTACAGTAGGTTATACACTCACAGCGTCACATTTATTGTACTAAAATATCATAGTAATATTCTCAATTGTGCAAGATATTTTAAGTTGATTGACAAAATTCTTCTAAAGCCTTAGTCATTATGCTTTATGTGATCTGTATGAAATTAGTTAACAATTATGACTGTATTTTAATGTCATTTTAGGATCAAGGGTTAAGTTCAGCAGATCAGCAAGTGTTTACCATTGACACTGGAGTTGGTAACTGTGACACTTCTGGTATGCCTACGCTAGCTGATGCATCTCTAGCAGAAACTGCAGCTAGACTACAACAGGTGACTATCTAGATATCTGTTATCTGTACAGTTTGCGAGTGTGGTCATAATGATATAAAATAATGGCTTATCAGCAAGTCTAAGCTCATTTGCAGCAAACGGTTGGAAAGATAAGACTAAGCTGCTTCTCTAGCAACAAGGAAAGTTGACGAAAATCTTCTTCATTGATGTAAAAGATTCTGATGTAGGATGGCAGCCTGAACTAGCTTGTGAAGCCTGAAGACCTACTAACATAAGCTATGACTGCGGTGACTGTCTCTTGCTTCTAACTATCTTTAAAGCAAAATAACCTTGATTGTTGCAGTATGTGATGAAGAGAATTTATATTTTTAAGCAAGACAACTGCATCAAGATCTACTATATTTAGACGTGTACAGTACTGCTTTGCTGGCTCTTGTAACCTGTACCGTGGCTAGGGGCAGAGCCCCTTAACATTTTGCATTTCACCCCTTAACATTTTGCATTTCAAAAAATCTTTGTAAATGTAACGTGTAACTCGTCTCTCTTTTTTATGCCAGGTTGCTGATGAGACTGGACAGGTACAATATGCTACACAGACAGTTACTGTGACTGAGAGAGACTCAAAAGCATTAGGTCAGCCGGTAGGCTCGACCACTACTGTTCTACTCACTGCCTACCCCAGTGGACATTCAGCAGTTGGTAAGATATTAACAATATTAATTATTCTTATTTTTTATATTTATTCTAATTCTTCATTACTTATTTAAGGTGATACACAGCAGCAGTATTATGGGAGTAACCCTGTTACTAATGATGCCAGTACTGCCTCCTCATCCTCTTCTGCAGTCCACAATAATACAAGCACAGCTCCTAGTGTACAAGTTGTCTATAGTGCTTCTGTTAGTGAATTACCTGAGTCTATAGTATCCGGGATTACAACTGGTCCTTATGAAGAAAGAGAGAGGGGGGTAGAAGGGCCTGACCCAGCTAGTTCCCCCGGGAGACAAGCATTAGCTGATACTAATGAGTATTTGTCACGTGCTACTGGTCTTTCGAACCACGATGTCAATATTGATTTGGCATCTCAGTATATCAGTGGGTACACGCATAAACCAGATAGCTTATTGACCGGAGGAGGTCAAGAAAAAGACCTTGGTATTTTGTCTGGTGAAGGTCAAGAGAAGGATCTTGGTTTGAACGGTGACAGTTCAGAGAAAGAGGACGCTCTGGTTAGTGCCACTACTGAACAATGAACTATTTACATAAAACAGTTGATTTTTACATGCATAGAGTGCACCTTTTCTTTCTTATTACTAAAAATAAAATAACACCTCTGAGTTTGTATAGATAAAAGATATTCATTATAATAAAATAAAAGATATTCATGGACTGGTAGTTATTATCAATAGTCATTGGTTCTAGATCTTGCCACTGTGTTGCCACACCTAGCTCAGTGTAGCTTAGCTGTGTCCATGTGGCAATTGTGACTTTGTGGTAGCTATGTATCTGAAGCCTTCAACTTTCTCTTGCTCTGATTCCACTTATTGGACAAATAACAATTGGTCTATTCCTATAATCTCAAGTATCCTATACCTCATTGTGATTTACTTTGGTAAGCAATGGATGAAGGACAGAGAACCTTTTCATCTAAAGCAAACTCTTATGCTGTGGAACTTGGCTTTAGCAGTCTTTTCTATATTTGGAGCTATTGTCCTTGTCCCTCCAGTTATTAGCTCAATGAGAGAGAAAGGATTTGTTTATACCTCATGTGTATCTGATGCTTATCACAGTTCTGAGTCTTCAGTGTGTTTCTGGGTCTTTCTCTTTATGCTATCAAAAGTAGTCGAACTTGGCGACACGTTATTTGTCATCTTACGCAAGAAGCCACTGATGTTCCTCCATTGGTATCATCACTTGTCTGTTCTTAGTCTCACCTGGTTCATTGTCTCAAAGGATGCCACAGGGATCGTTCATACCTCCAGTTCCATTAATTATAGTGTGCATTCCATCATGTATTCGTATTATGCTGCCACTTCTGCTGGTATTCGATTCCCTCCCATGATACCTCCTCTTATTACGTTGCTTCAGATATTGCAAATGTTTCTAGTAGCTACGGTTAATATTACTGCATTTATTTATCGTTCAACCTGCCCGGTTGATGTAGCTGTTGTTTGGGCTGCTGTGATTATTGTGCTTTCTTATGCTGCTCTTTTTGGAAATTATTTCATGCAACGCTATGTATTCAAGAAAAAGAAGAAAGAAGAGTGAATGGACTTTATGAAATTTGTCCGTGCTGCTTTAAACATTTGATTTAGTATTTCTATTATAATTATTTTGCTTATAGCTGCTATTTCATCCATTACCTAATCATGCATGGATTGATGAGATCTAGACTATATAGAGTAGAAAATGATCACGCCATTTAGATAGGCTGCATGCATAATGCATATCCCATGCCAAGCATGCAGCCTGGGGTCAGAGGTCCAACAGCGCGGTAGTCCGAGAGGCAAGGACTATGGTGGTCCAACTGAAGCCTTCTTCTTTCTCTTGCTCGGACTCTATTCATTGGACAGACAGCAATTGGTCCATTCCTATAATCTCAAGTCTCCTTTACCTGTTTCTGGTTTACTTTGGTAAGCAATGGATGAAGAGCAGAGAAGCTTTTAACCTGAAACGCCCTCTAATGCTATGGAACTTGGCTACAGCTGTCTTCTCTATATTAGGAGCCAGTGTGTGTCTACCTGCTGTTATTAACTCTACCATAGAGAAAGGATTTATCTATACAACATGTATATCTGATGGCTATTATGGCTCTGAGTCTTCAGTATGTTTCTGGGCCTTCCTTTTTACAGTGTCAAAAGTAATTGAGTTAGGAGACACCTTTTTCATCATACTTCGTAAGAAACCACTAATGTTTCTACACTGGTATCACCATGTAACTATCATCAACGTTATGTGGTTGATTTTTTCAAAGGCTGCAACTGGGATCTCTCACTGGGGTTCTGCAGTAAATTACACCATACATTCTATCATGTATTCGTATTATGCTGCCACTTCTGCTGGCGTCAGGTTTCCAGCTCTAATACCACCACTGATCACTATGCTTCAGATATTCCAAATGTTTTTTGGAGCTACAATTAATATGACTGCATTCGTTTATCGCTCAACTTGTCCAGTTGATGAAGCTGTTGTTTGGGCTAGTGTAATCATTTTACTGACTTATGCTGGTCTTTTTGGCAATTATTTCATGCAGCGCTATGTATTGAAGAAAAAGAAGAAAGAAGAGTGAAACTAAAAACTGGATATTATTGTAGTCTTCCTCTTTGTGATACCAAGTGCCCATAATAAAGTCTACCCAAAATAATAGATTTCTTATATTATAATTATTTGCTTAGCTGCTATTTCATCCATTATCTATAAAAAATAATACTTTAGTGCATGGATTTTTGGTTAAAATTATGATCATATCAGAGTATGAATGATTACATCATAGGGTGCAACTGAAAGGCACATTATTCAAGTGCAATAATAATGGTGGTCCAACTGAAGCCTTCTTCTTTCTCTTGCTCGGACTCTATTCATTGGACAAACGGCAATTGGTCCATTCCTATAATCTCAAGTCTCCTTTACCTGTTTCTGGTTTACTTTGGTAGGCAATGGATGAAGAGCAGAGAAGCTTTTAACCTGAAACGCTCTCTAATGCTATGGAACTTGGCTACAGCTGTCTTCTCTATATTAGGAGCCAGTGTGTGTCTACCTGCTGTTATTAACTCTACCATAGAGAAAGGATTTATCTATACATCATGTATATCTGATGGCTATTATGGCTCTGAGTCTTCAGTATGTTTCTGGACCTTCCTTTTCACAGTGTCAAAAGTAATCGAGTTAGGAGACACCTTTTTCATCATACTTCGTAAGAAACCACTAGTGGTTTTACATTGGTATCACCATGTAAGTGTTGTCTACCTTATGTGGTTTACTTTTTCAAATGCTGCTACTGGGATCTCTCACTGGGCTTCTGCAATCAATTACACCATACATTCTATCATGTATTCGTATTATGCTGCCACTTCTGCTGGCTTCAGGTTTCCAGCTCTAATACCACCACTGATCACTATGCTTCAGATATTGCAAATGTTTTTTGGAGCTACAATTAACGTTATTGCATTCGTTTATCGCTCAACTTGTCCAGTTGATGAAGCTGTTGTTTGGGCTGGTGTAATCATTGTGCTCTCTTATGCTGTTCTTTTTGGCAATTATTTTGTGCAGCGCTATGTATTGAAGAAAAAGAAGAAAGAGTGAAATCAAACTGGGTATTGTAATCTACATGAACGTGCCCATAATTTAATAGTAGATCTACAGGCATTTTTGTGTAAAAAATTGTATAGATGTATGAAAATAATTATTAATAAAAATTATAAGTCACACCCTCATAAAAATGGAAATGTTAAAACCTACCGCTTTCTCTTGCTCGGACTCCATTACCTGGCTACACAACAATTGGTACATTCCTCTAGCCTCGAGTTTACTTTATCTCGTTTTTATGTACTTTGGACAGCAATGGATGAAGAACAGGAAACCTTTTAATTTGAAGTTACCCCTCACCCTATGGAACTCTCTCTTAGCAGCATTCTCTATCATAGGAGCCTCCGTGTGTGTACCTGCTATTGTATATTCAACCAAAGAGAAAGGATTCATTTATACAACCTGCACGTCTGACAGTTTCAAGCAACCTGATTCTCCAGTCTGCTTCTGGGTGTTGCTTTTCGTGCTATCAAAAATTTTCGAGTTAGGGAACACATTCTTTGTCATATTTCGGAAGAGACCTCTCATCCTTTTACACTGGTATCATCATTTGAGTATGGTCGGTCTGTCGTGGTTTACTTTCTCAAAGGCTGCGACTGGCATTTGTCATTGGTCCAGCTCAATCAATTTCAGCATGCATTCCATAATGTATTCGTACTATGCTGCTACGTCTGCTGGTATCCGATTCCCAGTTGTGATCCCAGCATTCATCACTGTACTTCAAATACTGCAGATGTTTATTGGGTCTACTGTCAACTTTACTGCATTTCTCTATCGCTCTTCTTGTCCAGTTGATGAAATTGCGGCTTGGGCTGGTGTTATTGCTTTACTGTCTTATGCTGCTCTTTTTGGTCGTTACTTTATAAAGCGCTACATACTAGGCATAAAAAAGGACAAGAAAGCATAAAGATGTTCACTCATAATACTCAAAATTATTTTATTCATCTATGGTCAATTAAATTTTGTTAGAAAAAATTTTAAAGTGGAAGTTAATTTTTTCATTATGGGTGTGTCATTGCTCTTTGCCATGGCAACGCATATACAACCGGAGGTGGCGCCTCGCGGGTCAAATGTCTGTCCAGAGAAGGACATGAGTGACTTCTTTGCAGGTACTCTTCCTGTTTGCAATAGATATGGTAATTATGGAGCTTTCTATTGTTGTAATTTAATAATGTTCATTTTATCAAATAGCCTGGAAAAAAGAAAGGCAAGTCCGGTGGTGGGAAAGGAAAAGCTAAATCAAAAGGAGGAGGAGGGAAGAAAAAAGGAAGCAAAACAGGAAAGAAGGGAAAAGGAAAGGGAAAAGGCTCAAAATCAGCATCAGAAAAGAAAGCTCAGCCTGTACCAGATCCCTTTAGTGTTGCTGCAATGTTAAATGCATATTACATCTCACATGGCCCGGTTGAGTTTCTAGCATTTCGTGGCTATACGTGGGGAGGAGGTGAAGGAGCGAAAAAGAAAAAGAAAGGAAAGAAAAAGAAGTGACATTTTATACATTCTAGTATAATTCTTTCTGTGAAAAATTTGTGGGATGGATTTTCATTTATCATGCACTCTTTACTACGACCGTGATACTATTAATAATTGTATTTTATAACAAATCTCACTTCTATAAATACATTTTATCTCTGCCTGTAAATTAATGAAAGATATTTTATGTACCATGCAAAGAATATAGTCTACAATGCAGAACTGAAGTAATATACTTTAGTGTGATGAATATGATTTTATATTATAGGCTATTGATTGTGCTATGGGATGTGTATAGCTGCAGTGTTTGCAGATATGAATATAGTCATTTCACAGCCTCTTATGCTCATAATGGATGCTTAGATATTAGCATTAGTAAACACAATGATTATAAATGAGAGTAATTGTATTTTATTAGCGCTTCACTCAGTTGATGGAGGCTAAACTCTGAGCTCAATCTTAACAATAAGAATGAACATTATGTTACATTGAAGTAGATGCAGTTGTCTTCAGAATTTTCTCTTTTCCATTTTTTGATAAAAATAATATCCTGCCAATTTTTAGCACCAGTTTTGATTGGAATTAACTCAAACTTGTACATCATACAGAACTTGCAAACCAATTCACATAAATGAAAAAGGAACTCTGGCTGACTGCCTAAATTATTCTTGCATTGCATGGTCACATAAAACAAAATACATGCAACATGTATCGGGAAAATGTAATTAAAAAATTTAGCTCTGCATTAGAAATTATATTACAACCAATTTTTGAGCCTGATATACATGTAGCTAGCAATAGTTCAGCATAAATTATGTAGCAGTTTCTCACATGCATGCTTTAGCATTAGCACTAGTAAAGACAATGTATCCAAAAGATAAAGAAGGCAGTTCCATGCTAGTACCACTTGGCTCAGCCTTAGGCTGCAGTTGAGGAATGGAGTCTCCATTAACTAGCTCAACTTTTACTCCATTTAATAGAACATCTCTATTGTTTAATATAAAATAAGTGATACTGTTATTATATCTGTGCCGCTTACTGGCTTGTTGAATTATTTTCTGATGGAGTCAACCAGTACACGTCTCTGCTACTTGATTTGAGCTCACTGTTCTCAAGACTGATTTGAGCAGCATCAGTGTTGGTGTTAAGAGCTAGGAGGACTACACTTCCTTTAGGATATCTATTGAATCACACGGACAAGCTGATTAAGTTTACATTATTAGTTGGAAATAGTTTGAATACACGATTTAACTGCTACAAATTGTATTATAATTATGGTTAATTATGCATTTTTATGTAAGAAAAAAGGGAAGACAAAATAGCTCAAAAATCACCCCCAATTTTTATTACATTTTCTGATACATATTGATGTCCTTATGCTGTGTAGAAAGTTTGAGGTGATTCCGACTTCAATTTTTCAAGTTACGGCCATTTTAAGGAAACATCAAAATTTTGAAAAATACCAAAGACTATAGCCCATGGTTTTTTCCAAAAAATGGTTCCGAAATCACCCCAAATTTTTATTACATTTTTTGATACATATTGATGTCCTTATGCTGTGTAGAAAGTTTGAGGTGATTCCGACTTCAATTTTTCAAGTTACAGCCATTTTAAGAAAACGTCAAAATTTTGAAAAATACCCAAAGCTATTATAGCCCATGGTTTTAAAAAAAAATGGCTCCAAAATCACCCCAAATTTTTATTACATTTTTTGATACATATTGATGTCCTTATGCTGCGTAGAAAGTTTGAGCTGATTCCGACTCCAATTTTTCAAGTTACGGCCATTTTAAGAAAACGTCAAAATTTTGAAAAATACCCAAGGCTATAGTCCATGGTTTTTTCAAAAAATGGCTCTGAAATCACCCCCAATTTTTATTACATTTTTTGATACATATTGATGTCCTTATGCTGTGTAGAAAGTTTGAGCTGATTCCGACTTCAATTTTTCAAGTTACGGCCATTTTAAGGAAACGTCAAAATTTTGAAAAATACCCAAGACTATAGCCCATGGTTTTTTTCAAAAAATGGCTCCGAAATCACCCCAAATTTTTATTACATTTTCTAATACATATTGATGTCCTTATACTGTGTAGAAAGTTTGAGGTGATTCCGACTTCAATTTTTCAAGTTACAGCCATTTTAAGGAAACGTCAAAATTTTGAAAAATACCCAAGGCTATAGTCCATGGTTTTTTCAAAAAATGGCTCTGAAATCACCCCCAATTTTTATTACATTTTTTGATACATATTGATGTCCTTATGCTGTGTAGAAAGTTTGAGGTGATTCCGACTTCAATTTTTCAAGTTACAGCCATTTTAAGGAAACGTCAAAATTTTGAAAAATACCCAAGGCTATAGTCCATGGTTTTTTCAAAAAATGGCTCTGAAATCACCCCCAATTTTTATTACATTTTTTGATACATATTGATGTCCTTATGCTGTGTAGAAAGTTTGAGCTGATTCCGACTCCAATTTTTCAAGTTACGGCCATTTTAAGAAAACGTCAAAATTTTGAAAAATACCCAAGGCTATAGTCCATGGTTTTTAAAAAAAATGGCTCCAAAATCACTCCCAATTTTTATTACATTTTTTGATACATATTGATGTCCTTATGCTGTGTAGAAAGTTTGAGTTGATTCCGACTTCAATTTTTCAAGTTACGACCATTTTAAGAAAACGTCAAAATTTTGAAAAATACTCAAGGCTATAGCCCATGGTTTTTTTCAAAAAATGGCTCCAATATTACCTCATATTTTTATTACATTTTTTGACTTATATTTATGTACTTATGCTATGTAAAACGTTTGAGCTGATTCTAAAATTAGCATAGTCCATGGTTTTTAAATGGTTCTAATATTACCCCAAATATTTTGCATGCTAAAACAACTGTTTCAAAATTAACATACGGTTGTTTAGCGCAGTGAGCGTAAGTCCTTACACTACGTCCTTTATCTTTGGCTCCTTTAACTTCAAGAACCTCAGGCCCTACTAGCCTCTTGTACAGTAGCGATAACCAATAATCCTAAAAATATAAGTTTATTATTAGTTTATTATTAATGCTAATGTTGTTAATTAATTAACTGGGAGTGGGTTTTGATTCTTGTCAAGTAAAGCATAATTTCCTCCCACGAAATCCTGTCGAAAAACTTTCTTTTGCGTGTACGATGTCACACCTAACTTGTCAAGCCACCTAAAAATGAGCACCAGAGTATAAAATGATAATTTATTTTCAGTTCTGACATAAATCCTGATATGAAGGATTCTGAATAAAGAGCTCTTCCTCCTCCGTATGAGCTTGAGGTTTCGCCCAACCAAAGGTCACCTTTGTATCCTGCCTTACTGGCAATGCCCATCAACTCTTCAATTTCATCGTAGAGTTTATCCAATTCTTTGACTGAATGGAAATCATCAAGAGTAATGTTTTCGCTGCTACCGTAATATCTGTGCATTGATCGAATTAAATTTATATTTATACTGTCTTAGTCTTACTGGTGCCACGTAGCTGCATTAATAAATTTACTGTCACTCTCTGAATCTGCTTCTATAAAACTAGCAAAAATTACTTTATTATTTTAAGTGCAGAAATTGCATGCGCTTACTCTGAAAATATTCTTCCTCTTGCCAAAGTTGCTACATCAGGCCCAGCCATAAAAATATCAGGATAGTTCTTTTTCTCAAGTATTGACTTAAGCTTCTTGAAATTGTCAACTATTTGCTGAGGAGTTATAGTTGTGTTGTGTTTGTAATACAGATCTGGCTCTATTATTACAAATTATGAAACTAATAATTATAATTATATTACGTAAATTCTTACCGTTTCCCAATTCCCAATCCACTGCATAGTTTTTCTTTAAAGTATAATCAATGAGAAGTTCAGCATTTGTTGAATTCCATGATCCATTGGAATCTTGTAATCTCTGATTCAAACCAAATATAAACTTCCAGCCAACTGCTTTAGTGAACTCATTCACTGCATCCCATTGTGACGGTGACATATAAAAATTTGAATCTGCAAACCAATCAAACGAAGTGGACAAAGTGCCTTTCCTTGTTATTATCTCTTCCTTTTGTCCCTCCTCCTCCTCCTCCTCCTGCTTGTTAGGATCAAATATCAAGAAGTCTTGGGAAGTCCCTCCAACTCTCAAAGTGACAGGTACCAAAGCCTTGGCCATGTTGATGATTTTAGTAGCAGTAAAATCAATGTCACTCCAATTCCTTGATATAGAGCCTGCGTCTATTGTGACTGAGAGGAAATCATCAGCAACAATGCGGTAAGGAGCATCAAGACTGATTGTGACTGTAGCCCTGTCTTCAGAGTTACTTGGTGTTAAGAAAACCAAGAGATAACACGAAATCAATTGAACATACATGTTAGATTTGCAAGCAGCCTGCTAAGGTCAGTAAAGGGTGTGTTGTTTGGTAGTGAATATCCTTATACAGCAGTTTTGTGATTAAATTCATGTAATACAGAGAGATTGAAGCTGTATATCTAAGCTACTGTTGCACCTCTGATGTAAAAGATGTTCTTTTGAACAAATAATAACCTTTTATAACTTATTAAACTATTATTAAATTAAATTTAAATTCAAGATGGTTGACAATGACAAGTGAGGCATCAATGGAAGGTGCCTTATTTTTTTTACTCATAATAGGTATTGAAGCATCCAGAGAAGTCAATACGTTAGTAAGGAAGTGGCTACATGGCGGAAAGGAGTCATTAGATCTTCCTGTCTCTCCTAAGGTTGTTTTCTGGGAAGGTAAACAAGGAATTGGTGCTGGATCACTTCCTGGAGCAAAAGCATTTCAAAGAAGAGAATCGCTTGCTGTTAAAGTGAAAAAAAAGCTTTTGAATGCCAGGAGGAGGAAAGCAGAGCGTGAAGACTCTTTGCGACCCAGTAACGAAGTAGCTGAAATGTCTTCCGAAATTGAAGAAGAGGAGAGTAAAGGCAGCATAATGCTTAAATCAAAAAAACGTAAATCAAATTATGAGGAACGAACGGCAAAAAGGAAACGATTCCTTACAACTGATGCAAATAATAACCCACTCAAACCCTCTATTAATCCATTAACATTCACTGATGCTGAAAGGCATAGTGATGCGACTTGTACCAGTCTGCCTGTTAATGGTGGGCATGGAGAGCTAAGTGTGAAAGGAGTTGGTCAGAAAACGCCAGGAAAGGTAAGACAAAGCATGTCACTGTTGTCAGGTGTGTGTCATTTTGAACATAGATAAAGAACTTAAACAAGCAAAAACGGAAAAAAAGAAAAGGGAAATTACAAAAGGACCACAGACACGAGTGTTAAAAATTATATTTTATGGATATTTGTACATAGTATATTAAATGCAGTTTATATTGTTCAGGAGCCATAAAAAGTGATGATTATTAATATGTAACAATTTCTTGAAGTTTTTGAGATGTGGAAAGTTGCTTCATCTAAATTTCTCTGCTTCATCCTCTTCTCTATGACCCAGTGACACAGCCATTAATTCTCCATACCACTATAGAAAAGAAACATTACATGCCGCCCCTGTGAGTATGACTAATTTTATTATTGGCTCTACATTGTACTTTACTTTAAATAGTCCTGCTAGCATTAACACTTATGTACTTGTGTATAAACATTCTCACTTCACTTGTACTGGGGGGGGAATCCTTTTGATATTCTTACTAAAATTTGTAATAAGCCAAAACTGCCCTTAGTCCCCTCTCCTTGTTTGCTTATTTAATATATCTGTGGTCAAGGAATTGGCAATTGGCTCCTTTTAAGGCTGAATGTATACATTGAGCTTTGGGGCTATCGCTTGTAGTGTAGTAATTATACAGCTATGTGGGTAGCATTAATGTGATTCTGTTGCTGAGTGTAGGCACCAGTGAAGTGGGTTGAAAGAGCGGTTAGTTCTAGTGCTATTTCTTACTTCATTTCTTCCGTTGTCACTAGCAAACTTTATGTAGAACATCCCGCTGCTGCTTTCCTTGTTCCATCCTTTTCTTCTTGCGATCGGAGGCGATATTTTTAATACCCTCTTTGCAAACGGGAGTGATATTCTCTCAATGATTGAATCTGTAATGAATAAAAATGATATAATGTTAATCGTCTGAGATTAGTCATGTGAGAAAGATGATCACAATATTGAGTCATAATTCCATTAAGAGACATCCTCAGTGACTAATAACACGTATTAAAGTTCAATCAATGTAAAATGATTATTCACTAACTGACTTATAGTCACTCAATATATGCAACTGTAATTTAATACAGCCTCATAACTGTATGTATCCTTCCCAAGAGTGTAGTTCATGTGTGGTGCTATCTACCATGCAATCCTACACTAATAAATGTGTGGGTCTGTTCATGTATTGGTATATACAATATATACAAGTGTTGGCATTAAGATATGCGGGCGTGTTTAAATCTTGAGGGTTACAAAATATGCTAACATGATTATGCTAATGATTATTTGCTGTTTTTCATTTGCCTGACATGTGTTCTGATGATACGTCAGCACTGTGTCATCTACACCATGTCAATGCTTGTGAGAGTCTGTGTGACAACATGGCATTAACAGAGTATACACAACATCAACAACCCCTCACGACATCCTCTTGTTGCCAATAACATTGCTATGACTTTGAGGAAGACACAACAAGAAAGCTACAACTGAGCAGGAGAAGCATAATTTGATAGAAGTACAAAGTGTTAACTGCTCCTTGTAGGCTTTGTAGGAAAACATGATTTATTGCAAAAAGCCTTTTCAAGGAACAATGATCTTCCAGTATGGATAATTGAACTACACGCCATTTGACTAGTTATGGTAAAGGGTACATATTACTGTAATGTAATGGAATCCAATCTACTTAGACTGTCAGTATCATGTTACTTGGTAATGATGCAATTACATAGCTCTCTATTTGACTTACCTTTGATGTACACGCCACCCAGAACAGGAGCAGAGGGTAATGGCTATAATTGAAAGAGAAAGAGATGTGATAAGTTTTGAATTAAAAAAGAGGTCAGGAAGTGTGAGGAAGCATGCAATGTATGAGTTAATGTAACGTAGCAATTTGTAATAATAATTGAGCCAATTTCCTATCCAAATTCTTCTTACCTTATCTACTGGATCAAAGTAAAATAGAAAGTTGCCTAATCATGCATAATAGAGATGAAAGGTCAAGAACATGACTAATGTACTCTCACCTTTAAGTATGAATACCCTTCTTTTCCATTTACTGATCAAGGAAGGATTAGGACCTGTTTGTTTATCACAAAAAAGAGTATTGTCTATCACATTATTTATAGCTTGCCTGTTTTTGACATGATGCCAATCTTTTGTACATCTTTCATTAGCCCCAACTGTGCATATGAAGGCTAGAGAGAGAGAGAGAGAGAGAGAAAGAAATGAAGGAGAGTTTAAATACAATTCAACATGCATGATAGCATACCTTTCCCAGTTTTGATGATGAAGATCCCAGTGAATAGTAAATAGATCTATCTCTTGGACTCAGTTGTCCAAACATTTCCCCTGGTAGCTCTACACGCTGGAGTTGGCCTGTCAGTGGACTTGCTGGAGCAGATATTGTCTGTCTTGTTACATCAAGTAAACCAGTTGGACTAGAAACACCATCAGAGCCACTGTCAACAGAGTCAGGTAGCTGGAGTCTCCACATTTGACCATTATTCAAACTAATGCTTCTCCTGATGAATGATCTCTGTCCTGTATCTTCATTCCTCTTAGTGTTGACTGGTCTTGGTACATCGTAGAGGTTCTCAGCTATAGCTTGCTCTGAAGTCATGCTGAATGGGTATACATCACAAGGAGGATAATCATACTCGTGGTATGAAGGCTGAATGGCCATCAAATTAGAGCAACTTCTGCTATAAGAAAGATTCATATTGCTCCTAGCAATACTGAGAATTCTATATGCAGGGGGATAATAATAGCTAAGAATGCTTTGTTTGCCCTTATAAATGCATGAGTAGCAGTTTGTCACTGCCCACACCCGACAACAGGGGAACTTATATGTTATCTGAATTAGACAGTCACAAGGCGTATGGAGTGTTTGCTAACAAAAGAGACACAACTCACTGTACATGGTGAGGATTCACACACACACTTCTTGTACATACATGAAGTTAAACACCAGTTCATAATCAAACAAGGAGTTTGTACACTTTCTAGTGTCTCGATAAACAATTAAAACACTTAATTAGTCTCTCTTCTCTTTTTGTAGTACAAGCATCAATTTCCTTTACCATATTTCATTGTTTCATGCAATATGGTTGAAGAATTAAGATATGTCACTGTATGTACAGTATTCAATGATCTGATTTCTGCAACGTTGCAATTTGTGCAGTTGCAGTGAAATTGCGTGTTAAGAAAAGTCTATCATAATAGAAATATAGTGACATTCATAACAGCAAGAGTAGGTACTAGCATCTCTTAATCTCTGTCCTCTTGACAAGAATTATACCAATTAACAGAGACATAAAGTATATGCTTTCTGGCACATGCTTTAACCACATGATTGGCAAAGTGGCCACAATTCAATTACATCACTTTAAAAGTTACAAAAAACATCAACATAATTTATATCAAAAGTCAATTCTTCCTCTCTCTTTCTCTTGTTCAGGTCACTTCATCGAAGTTGGTCGTAATTAACTTTGTTGTGTCAGAGTTTGATGGGGAATGAGGCGAAAGAGAGGGAGAATCAGCTTGCAGTAACTATTTTAAAATTAAGATAACAGTCTGTAAGCATTGATATGACTTACCTGAAACCCTCTGTTTACTAATATTGACTTTTGTGAAGGATGTCGATCATCATCATCATCATCATCATCATCTTCATCTTCCTCTGAAAATGCTAGCTGATTAGTTCTAAATATAATAATAACAATAATAATAATAATACACAGATGTGGTTATGTCGATCTACCACCCCCCATCAGTGGTAGATGGCTTCATTTAACTTTGTTTTTGTTGTACATGTAGTTTCTCTTTCTGTTTTTTGTTTCTTTCTATGTACAGGGTAATCCCTTTTTGTCCTCCTTTTGTCTGTTTTGTATCTTTCTTGTAATAATAATAATAATAATAATAATAATAATAATAATAATAATAGTATAATTAGATGTCTATGTACATACATTGTGCATCTATGGTTTTCATTTCCCTCCAACATAGTTATAATGCAGAGACGAAGATATTCACTTTTTTTTTTACATAACTAGCATATTTTAATGATTATGTTAGTAATTAATATGCATAGTGTTGTTCTTAAATGGACATCCGTCTATTGCTTGCATTCCAAAATTATAACTTTTAATTTTAACCCTTTCCTCCCTCTAATTCACTTTTTCGTTCCTCTCGGCTGTTTCGTGTAAACTTCCTCTTCGCTTTCAGAGGAAACGGCATCGGCTCTTGAAGGGAAAGGATCATCATCCTCACTCTCCATCGACAGAGCCTTGAACTGATTCATCACGTGATCATCTCTGTATTTCCTAATTAAGAGTATCATTTTAATGTAGAGAGAGTGGATTATTACCATGATTTTCTAGGTGTGTAGTCAAAGGACTTGCTTCCCTGGCCTCCCCCTCCTCTGTTGCTTCCTCCTAGTCCAAAGCATTGGCCCATTTCATTTGGAAAAGTACAAACAACAAAAAAAGGATGGAACTAGGCGGGGCTCGAGGTTGGTTTGGGTGGGCGTTAAGCCACCACGTGGTTTCCGTGCATTTATCGATAGATGCCCGTACACTCCAATCCAAGCAGGCGTGGTTAAGTTATGAGAATTGGCCAATGAAAAGCTTGAGACCACGTGCTATGTTATGGCCGGTCCTGTGTGCTTGCTGAGGTCTTACAGATCTTCTACGACTTGTATTGCTCTCTTTAAGACTGGAGCGGTTAGAAAACAACCTCTAATACATCCCAATACTTATTTACTTAGGCCCTGACTTTTGAAGGAGCCGTAGACCTCCGGTTATTGTTGGGAAATTTGGAAATATCAGGTCACGTGACTCGCCCCTCCCCTTGCTTTGAGACCCTTTACTCTCCCTCCGGTTGTAGTCACGTTGTCATATCAAACAATACGGTAGTTCCCGAGTCTTCGTTGGATTTTAATTCCTTAGAACTTAGTCGAGTTGATGTCGAAGTAATTAATAATTAAAAATTATTTTAGCATAAATTACACTGTGTAGTAATTAAAGGTTCTTTCCCAGCAAATTAGGCTATTACTCAATTCTCCGTCACATTCTTCGCACTCACTAGGAGCAATTGCTTTGCTAAAGGAGACCAAAACATCATTCCTTCATGGCTTGAAGCACCACTTCAAGACAAAACGTTACTTCCCATTGGTACAAAGTTTAAAATAAATTATCAACTCTCTCTTTGTCTCTAGGGTGACGTTGCTTATCCGTTAAGAAACTTTAGGACGGTATGCATTCATAATTTCATAATATATGCATGTATCTTTTATTTTTCATTTATAGTTATCAAACTTTACCAACAGTCTATGCATACCTCAGTCATATAGAGACTTGTGCAGTAAAATATGTTCTAATAAAGAAGGTATATGAACTTTTTATGTTTCAATTTTGTATGATAAAATTGCATAGTACAGTACAGCCCTTTACTGCTACCCACTTGATCAACATGTTTTTGTTTTTTTTGATATCCAATGCCTTATTTCATACAAATATTACTACATTAGTATATAGGTGTAGTCACCATATGATTCCTTAATGAGCAACTGATTCCTTAATTTCGACATTCCTATCATAAATTCTATACTGCAGTGTGTATGGTGAACATTGTGATTAATTATGTATAGATCAAATTAAGTTAATGCATATGTAATAGTGAATAGTATGGGTATTATTATCATTATTATGCATGTAGAATTATACATAGTAAGTCATAGTTTCTCCTTATTTTAGGCCCTCTCATTGTCCTTATTTGTGGTGTAGCAAACTCTGGAAAGAGCACATTTGCTCGGTTCCTTACCAATTCATTACTTAATCAGTAAGGAGAGAGAGAGGGAGGGAAGGAGGGGAAGGGCTTGTATATATAGCCTTGTACTTTATTGTATCATTTAGTTATGAGTCTGTTTCATTCCTCGAGTGTGATGTTGGCCAGTGTGAATTTACTGTGTCAGGTCTAGTGTCTCTACACTGTATAACTGATCCTGTACAGGGTCCAGCTTTTGTACACCAAAGAACCCCAAAAAAGTAAAAAATACAAATGAAGATATTATGTACTCATACATGCATTGCTACTTTTAATTGTGTAAAATTAATAAAAATAATAACAGAGTGAATAAGTAATATTGGAGTAAAACCCACATGATACTAAATTTATATACAGCAACTGTTATTAGGAGTTTTATTTTTGGTGACATCTCCCCAAAGAATCAACCAAAATTTTACACCAACTTAATCTCTCTATGCATGGAAGAGTACAAGAACCATGTGACCGGTTGTCATGGAAATGGAGCATGCCCACTTGTAATTAATACGTGTGGGTGGACTTCAGGTATCAAAATTATAATAATAATTATTAGTAAATGTAATGTACAAGTAAATTTTTTCTCTTTCTTTATAGGTATTGGCATTCATTTATTGATGGATGTTATTGCTATAACCACGCCCACAATTATACTCCAATTTATTAATAGTTTAACAGTGAATGATCCTGTTGAATTATCGGTATTGACCCATCAGTACATTAGCACTATCTCCCCATGGAGTAGCTTAGAACCAACTCTCTCAATGGCAATGAGAGACAGACCAGAAGGATCATGGTATTTCTTAATGAATGATTTTTATACTAATACTTTCCACCTTTTTAATTTTTTGGCAAAATTTGAGCAACTTTGAAATTCATAAAAAAATCTACTTTTGATCAGAATCAGCTCAAATTATCTATGAAGCATAAAAACATGAATCTTTAGAAAAGATGACAGTAAAAAATAGATTGTGATTTGCTTAACTTTTAGCTCAGGTAATAAAAGAAAGAGGGTTAGAGAAAAAGAAGATTCCGAAGAAGTTGACGAATTAACAGAAGCAGAAGAGGAGGAGGAGGAAGAGAAAAGGGAAAGGGAAGAAGATGAAGAGAGTGAAGCAACTTTTAATGTCACAAACATTGAATGCGGAGCCTTTGATGGAGAAGAAGTGAAAAGAAATGAGCCACATACAAATAAATGGACAGCTGGGGATTGTGCCGTATATACCATCTGGTCATTCAATGGATCCAAGAAACAATCGTAAGTAATGAAAAACTATTAATTATATTTATGTGGGTCCATAAACCATACATACGTCTATTAGTAAGTTCATTATATTCATCCATATACCGTATAAGTGGTTTTTTCGAGGGTTGCAAATTTCGTGGATTCCCTCCTAATTCGCGAAAATAAAATCTGCGAAAATCAATTTAATACGGTACCTGCATGGCACACGTGGTAGGATTCGCGAAATTAAAATCTGCGAATTGGAATTTTAGCAGATTTCGCGAAATATAATTCCCTTGAAAAAAACCACTTATACGGTATCATTGCTTTATGTTCAGAGGCTTAGAGAGAATAGCTAGACTCGTCTCTTACTTCTCTCCGTTATTGGACTCTCTTCAATCAACAAGAACTGATTTTAATTTCCTTCTTTCGTGCCCTCCTTATCAAGTGCCATTGGATAAACTAGCCGTACATTGTATTCATAGGAATGTAAGCTAATGATAATAATTATGAGCCTGCTTGTTGTGATTTTACTATGGCAACAGGTCCCTCCCAGTCAATTGTTGTATGCTGTAAATGCAAAGTTTGTGTGGCTAGCTAAAGTAAATCAAGATGAGGTAATTATTGAACTTTTTAAAATCATTAATTATCATTAACATAGGTATGCCATGAGACCCAGCTTGTGGGAGGAGCTTTTAAATTAATTAAGAGCTCATTGCCTGTCGCTGAATACTGTGGAGTGGGTATGTTTGTTTATTTTTATTTTATTTTTATTTTATTCTTTTTATAGGATTAGTTCGTGGTATAGATGCTAAAAAGAGAATCATTTATATTACCACCCCAGCTTCCCCTCTTAGTCTAGCCGATGTGAATTGTATAGTTTTAGGCAATTACGAAAAACCATTTCATTTAGTATCACAAGCCCACATAGATGGAAACTGTCCTTATGAATCAAGAGACTTTAAGCATACTAGATACGGAGATCTTGGGTTTGATAATGCTTTCTAGCAGAGGACAAAATTTAATTATGATTTTTGCATTTTTATTATTGTCATTTGATTATCTTGATTGTAGGTGTGGCAAATATTAAATGGCTTCTTGGTGAAATGTGATTAATGGAAGGCGCTTAAGTGATGGATATCAAGCCTCACTCTTCAAGTAATAAGACAAAGAGGAGGAGGAGGAAAAGCAAAGGAAAGAGATCGACTGATAGGCACAGTGACCCCGAGCTACTCCTAAAAGAAGGAGAGATAGAAAGAGATCATCATGGTTGGGACAGTCTTGATGAAAGATGGCTGCCGCTAGACGAGCGAGGGGCAGCGATAGACGAGATGGAGGTCACCTCTAAAAGACTCTCAAGTCTTAACGTAACTTGTGATCCCCCTAAAGGCTCGACCCCTCCTCCTCACAACAATAATTCCTCCATTCCTAGTGAACTGGAGACCGAGAATACTAGTACATACGTTTGTGTGAGCAGCGATTTACAGAAGAGATATTCGCGAAAGAGAATCTACAGACGCAATAGGAAGAGAGCAAAGAAAGCAAAATGTGACGACGACCTCTTACTCTCCGTGGCTTCAACATCTGCTCCTTTTTCCGATTTTAAAAGAGTTCCAAACTTATTAGAATCCCCTCAGTTCTCTATCGCTCACCAGAGTATAATCAGACTCGGTAAATTTCATCAGTCCGGGATACTTACCGATGACAGTCAAACTGGTTTGACTAGTCATTACGGTTTAAGCGATGAAACGAGTTCACGCGCTGTCACAGAGTCAGATTCACCTGGCATCCCTGATGATATTTTGATGTATGAGGAATCCACTAATTCTGAAGGTACAGGACTATGTTTGCATAGTTTTAAAATTCATGAAAAATCCAATTTTGATTAAAATTACCTCAAACTTTCTACACAATATAAAAAACATGTATATGTACCAGGAAAAAATATAAAAATCAAAAATACTCTACTTCAAATTTTTGGCAAAATTTGGCCCGAGACCATGTACTATAGTACAGGGACTTTGGTCAGATTTTGGAGAAACTTTTAAAATTTGTAAAAAAATCCAATTTTGATCGGAATCAACTCAAACTTGCTGCACAACATAAGCACATGTATATGTATCAGATAAAGTTATAAAAATAAAGAATTCTCTCCTTGTCATTTTTTCCAAAATTTGGCGTGAGACCATGTACTATAGTATAGGTACTTTGGTCAGATTTTGGAGAAACTTTAAAAATTTGTAAAAAAAATCCAATTTTGATCGGAATCAACTCAAACTTGCTGCACAACATAATTACATGTATATGCATCAGATAAAGTTATAAAAGTAAAGAATTCTCTCCTTGTCATTTTTTTCCAAAATTTGGCCCAAGACCCTGTACTATAGTACAGGGACTTTGACCCAATTTTTGAGTAACTTAAAAAATTCGTAAAAAATCTAATTTTGATCGGAATCAACTCAAACTCGCTACACAACATAAGCACATGTATATGTATCAGATAAAGTTATAAAAATAAAGAATTCTCTCCTTGTCATTTTTTCCAAAATTTGGCGTGAGACCATGTACTATAGTATAGGTACTTTGGTCAGATTTTGGAGAAACTTTAAAAATTTGTAAAAAAAATCCAATTTTGATCGGAATCAACTCAAACTCGCTACACAACATAACTACATGTATATGCATCAGATAAAGTTATAAAAATAAAGAATTCTCTCCTTGTCATTTTTGCCAAAATTTGGCCAGAGACCCTGTACTATAGTACAGGGACTTTGACCCGATTTTTGAGTAACTTAAAAAATTTGTAAAAAATTTAATTTTGATCGGAATCAACTCAAACTCGCTACACAACATAACTACATGTATATGCATCAGATAAAGTTATAAAAATAAAGAATTCTCTCCTTGTCATTTTTGCCAAAATTTGGCCAGAGACCCTGTACTATAGTACAGGGACTTTGACCCAATTTTTGAGTAACTTAAAAAATTCGTAAAAAATCTAATTTTGATCGGAATCAACTCAAACTTGCTACACAACATGAGTACTTGTATATGCATCAGATAAAGTTATAAAAATGAAGAATTCTCTCCTTGACATTTTTGGCAAAATTTGGCCTGAGACCGTGTACTATAGTACAGGGACTTTTGTCAGATTTTGGAGCAACTTTAAAAATCCAATTTTGCTCAAACTTTTTTATGTTTGTGTATTTAAGAGAGTTTGAAGTTGTTATTATTATTATTATTATTGTTATTATTATTATTATGTTACTGTTTTAGTGTTTATTTAGTTTCTTATTATTTTAGGTCACAGTAAAATGGAAGCTAAAGAAAGCAGCGAATCCTCTTTATCTCTCACACCAAAGATGGCAAACACTGGTGGGAGCACCAACAACACCACTAATGGTTCCTCAGCAGAGTCTGTCATACTCCGAGTCTCTTTGAAAAACCCCAGCGACACCACGGGGAGTACCTCTACCAGCGACAGTGGCTGTGATGGCGATGATGAGGAGAGTAGTGCTGAAGTCACGAGAGCTCTGCTGGTTGGGGGAAACTCGTCTTCTTGCGGTACTAGGCATCCATTTTGGAGCACATACAGTGAATCTAGTGCTGACGAGATTTGTGACGATGAAGACAAATATCAGCATATCCTTAAGCCGCTGTTTGGTAGAGATGGAAGGCAGGTTTTTGATTTCAGTGCGACTTCTAATCTTTTAGAGTATAGAGGAGGAGGAGAGGGAGGAGGAAGATTCAAGCATCCTCAGTTGTGTGGTGCTCAATGTAGAAAGGGAAGTGGTCGAAAATATCGTAAAAAGCCACCTCCTCTTTCTCCCGCCATTGCATCCCCATTAGAATTAAGCCGTAGGATTAGTGATTTCGTTAGCGAAGGATTGACTGGACCGTCAGAGCTACAGTTACCGATGCTTAGTAGAAGCTTGTGTCATGTGGCTTCGAGACTATCAGAAGTACATTCTCTTGATTGCCTTGTCTCTCATGGTAAACGATTGCTACCTGTTGCAGCACCTTTGCTGAGGAAAACCCCCTCCACCCACCTTGGGGATAAATCAAAAATTGATACAATACTAATGGAATACGAGACCTCATTTACTAATAGAAGAGATAAGACAGAGAAATGCCCTGCTTTACCTATCTGTGTTCCACTTTCTACTCTGCCAAGTGGTGAAAGCCCTGGTTTATCTCTGAGGCAAGAAGCACCTCCAATCGGTGAAGCTAGTGTAACATTAATGAATGTCGGCTGGAATCAACCAAAGGAAGAAGCAATGGTCTCTGGAGAAGACTTAATGATTGAGCCTGTAATGACTTCTAATAATAAAACTGGTCTGAGCCTTAAGTGTAATTAATTATACTAAACTTCTAATTTCTATAATCTAAAACTAATGTACATGTAATCATGTATACAGTCTTTCATTGTTTGATACTAATCATATCCAATTCTATATGGTACATGTATGAGTTTGCATAATGAGTTTGAGTCTCTTAGTCTTCAATGTCGAGATCATCGTACTTCATTCTTATGTATATCTCCTTTTCCAATCGTCCCATCTTTAATGTCAAATCTTTGTTTTGGCTTGAGAGCTCATCTGGTGAATATTCATTTGATGGTTTTTCATCACCTGCACAGGGAGGATGAGAACAATACTCCATAGTCAAGAAATTGTTGCTATATAATCATATAATTCTCACCAAGTAGCCCAGCTTCTTGATAAGCATTAGCAACCAGTTCACTGCAGAATAATGTACTGATGTCTTCTTCCTCGTTTTTAAATATTGAAAGGAAATTATCAAAAAAATCATAACCAGCTTTAACCATTTCAAAAATGTTTGCTTGATACTTCACACCTTCGCGTTTCTTAGTAAGCTATATACATGTAGATGATAATATTACAGCATATGACAATTTTTATTTGTTGCTTACAGCCATTATTGTGTCATGGACCTTTTCTCTTTCCTTGTCAGTCAAATCCACAAGACGCCTGATAGCAACTTCATCATTGTATCCGCTAAATATCTTGTGCTTGAGTGGTAGTATTTGTGTTCCTCCCATTATTTGGCAAGATCCTAGGTCAACCTTACCTGAAGGATCGAGAAAAAAAGAGAATTATGAGGTTTTTTTGAGTATAGAACTAACCAACAAAATTGCGGCAGGATTCCCAGACCATTAATATATCAGATCCTTTTGGTTTGAGCACCTGCAAATGAAAGGTTTTTGTAATAATTTCCTTTAATCATAATAGCCATACAAGTGCAGCATGTGAAAACTGTTGTTGTCCAATAATTTTAATAGCCGCCCCAGCAGCACACACTGAAGAGAACAGCACGATATCTCCAGTATTCAGTGTATCTCTTATTGACTTATAAGTTACATGGACATCTTCTGCAAATGGCATTAAACCACGCCTATAGAAGAGTGAATATAAGCTCACATGCAGCATTTTGCATTAAGTTGTTTGCTACATTTGACACTATTTTGTTCATTGTTGGCTAAAATAATGATTGATCGGCTAATAATCACTACATACGATAGTGAGTTAAGGTTTACATAAACTCAGTGGTAGTTTAGAAAAATATCTCATTTTTTAAAGGTTTAGGCGGTAGGTAGAGGGTCTGGACAGCAAAACTATTGCTTAAGTTACAAGGTCAAAGTAGCCATAAATGGTGTTAGTGTGACTACAATTATAATTATGATTTATATAGTACTGATCCTGCATGCATGCATGCATGCTAATGCTGCTTTACTTACAAAATTTTTTGGTATAATGGTGGTTCTTCTCTGCTTAGGAGGCCCAATTTAACTGGAGGCACTTTGAGAAACTGCGGCTTTGTTACAGGTAGTATTTCATGCCATTTCTCAGCCGTATTCTTGATGTCGGAGGGCTTAGCAGTGTCCTTCAAGACCCCTAGCTTATGATAGAATCGATGCAAGTTGATGACAGTCGTAACGACACTTCGAAAGGTAGGGGTAGGAGCCTCACTAGCTGTTTCAAACTCTTCATCAGTGTAGGTTTCAGTATCAATGTTATCTACAACCTTCAGAGCAGCATCTGAGCTTAGCTTTCCCTGCTCATCCTCACTTGTCTTCAATCTGCAGATTGCTACACGCTCATAGTCTCCGTAGAATATTCTCACAACGGCAGTGACTGCAGTGAGGAATCTTCTCTTGCTGTGCAGGAAAGTTTCCCTTTGCATTGGCTTGGCGACTCCTTTGACCATGAGAAGTGGAAAGTACTTCATATGGTCAGAGTTGTTGATTATCACGGCATAATTAGGTATCTCTTCGTCTTTCCGATAAAGAAGAAGAAGATCTCCAGTCTTTAGACTGTCCTTTATATCTTCAAAGTTGACCAAATCTTGCTCTCCTGTAGCTTGAGCCATAACAACTCATAGGCAACGTACAGGGTGTGGCTCGACGTCATTATTAAAAAAGGAGTGGCTCATTAAATTTAATAACTAGGTGAATGTAAACATTGTGGGGGCGAGCATGAGCCATCAATTAACAACTGAAATAATAATTATGATTGAACTAAATAAAATCAATCCAGCTCTCAGCCTGCATGCATATTCAGACCCCGGCCTCATGGCCGGGGTCTGAACAGAGCAAACACACCAGTCAACACAACCAAAATAACCCAATCAAAGTGACAAGAACGAGTCCTGTCACACTGAGAAAATGTACCAAGTTAAACTTCTAATCTAGCTTCCATCAATTACCATTTGAAATAAGATTGAACTAAATAAAATCAATCCAGCTCTTAGCCTGCATGCATATTCAGAATTTCAGACCCCATCCTCATGGCCCAGCAGGGTCTGAACAGAGCAAACACACCATTTAACACAACTGACCAAAATGACCCAGTAAAAGAGACAAGAATGAACTGTCCTGCCACTCTGAGAAATGCCAGTGCCAAGCTAAACTTCTAATCAAGCTGTTCTCCCAATTTTAATTCTTTCAATGAGAGGACTAATCTAAAGGAGTCTTAGATCAAGCTGCTTTAAGTTTTTCAGCCTTTCAGATGTTTTAGACAGCCCCTCTCTCTTATCTAGCTGTTAGAAACTCAATCTGAGTTTGTCAAGTTAAAATTTCCGCCATCTTGTTCTTTTGACCACACCCTCTAAATTAATTTTGCCCACGTGGTCCAAATTTATTAATAGTAGTATACTAATTTAATTTTCGTATTTTTCCGTTCACAAACAAGACGTAACGCAAATAGACCTAGACAGATTAGTGTGGGTCTCGCTCATGCTCGCCCCAATTATTTTGTTTATGAAAAATGAGGAAGTACAAAACTATAAAATTTGGCATTGAATTGTATGTAGTCAGTATTGATCTGATCTAGCTAAGCAAAATCACATCTAATTAGCATGTGTACTATTATTATCGTTTAGTCTTCATATTTTAACTCAATATAAACTTCAGGCTCCAATCGTCCGAACTTGAGATTCGGGTTTTTCTCACTTGAAAACTCATCAGGAGAATACTCATTTGATGGTTTCTCTTCTACAAGAAGAGAATTAGATTGAATGTTGGTCAGCAAACTCTATACTTACCTCCAAGCAAGCCAGCCTCTTGATAAGCATGTGCAACCAACTCACTACAGAAGATTGTGCTCACGTCTTCTTCGTCATTTCTGAGAAAATCCAGAAACTCTTCGCCAAAGTCAAAACCTGACATGATCATTTCGATGAAATCCTTCTCGTAGTAGGTACCCTCGAGCTCTTTAGATAGCTGTGGTATAACAATAAAAACAAGTGTACTATATCATGCATCATGAATCATACGTTATTTACTATAATTACTAGATCTAGCATGATAGCATTATATAGTTGTGATGTGTATGCATCAATTGTATATTTGTAGTATGTAGTATACAGTAAAGGAAGTTTAGTTACTTTCATCATGGTTTGGTGGATTTTCTCTCTTTGTTCATCAGTTACATCTACCAAGCGTCTAATGGCAACTTCATCGTTATACCCATTCAATATCTTGTGCTTCAATGGAACGATTTGAGTTCCTTTTTGCACTTTTGTGCTCCCAAGGTCAACCAGGCCTAACAAGGATTAAGAACATCCTTATAAATAAACAACATGCTTATACCGTATACCATGAAATTTATGCGACAGAAAAAACTGCGATTTTTGCTCCATTGCAAAAATTAAAATCGCAAAATCCTACAGCTCCATTGCCCCATGGTGCGGTTTGCAAGCTATTTGCAAAAATTATTTTGTGAAATCTTAGAAATGAAGGATTCGCAAAAAAAATTGTTGCATAAATTTCATGGTATACGGTATAATGTCTTGCTGACTAACCAACAGAGTTAGATGTTGTTTCCCAGCACATAAGAAGGTCAGAGCCTTTAGGCTTGAGTACCTATGGTGTGTGTGGGGCATGTACAAGACGTGTGATGTCATGTCTTACAATAATTCAGAGTAAAACCACAATTCACTGTGACAATTACAATATAGCTAGGAATGCTCCATTATTTCATAAGTCCATTGATTAATTCTATTCATAATGTTGTTATCTCAATGCTATTCTGACTGTGTCGTCACAGACACACTATGATATTATGAGCCTTACCATAGCAGCATGAGAAAAATGGGAGTTGCTCCCCAGCTTGATAACAAAGCCACTAGATCCAACTGTAGCAAAAAGGAGGATGTCTCCGGTGTTTAGCTGGTCACGGATAGAACTGTATGGCACTACAGTTCTGTTTTCAGGAATAGGCATCAAACCACGTCTATAGGAAAAAATATAATAAAAATAAATATGGGCAATATTACTACAATTCCTTACAAAATCTTTTGATAAAATGGTGGAGTTCCACCCTTCATTGGTCCCGGTTTAATGGGAGGGACGTTAATGAATGTTGGTTCACCAACTGGCAGAGTGGTGTTCCAAGTCTTGTACGTATCCTGGACACTGGATGGAGTGGCAGGCTCTGCAATGATGCCAAGTTTACTATACAAAACACTCAAGTTGAGCACAGATGCCATGACGCTTCGGGCAACATCTGTCTCTGCTTCATCAATTAGCTTCAGCTCCTCTTCAGAATACTTTTGAGTATCGATCTTGTCCACAGCCTCGAGCGCCTTCTTTGCTGATATGTCTTTCTGGTCACCGGTCAGCCTGCAAATTGCTACACGCTCGTAGTCTCCATAGAACATGCGTGTGACAGTAGTGACTGCTGTAAGATAGCGTCTCCTGCTGAAATTTTCCTTGGACATTGGTTTAGTGCTACCTTTCACCATCAAGAGTGGAAAGTACTCCTCGTTTGCAGAGTTGTCTATCAAAATAGCATAATTGGGGTTCTCTGCATCTTTCCTGTAGAGGAGTAGAAGGTCTCCTGTTTTTAGACTATTTTTAATATCATTGAATTCAACCAGCTTTTCTGCTGCAGGCTCTCCCTCTGCTCCTCCTGTGGTCTCAGACTGGGTGGGCTTTGCTGGAGGTGCTTCTCCTTCTTTATCAACGTTGGTTTGTTCTGCAGGAGATTCCTTGGGGTCTTCAGTCTTTGCTGAGTTATCTTTGCTGCTTTTGCCTCCCATAATCAGTGAGCAATGGAAGCCGCAACAAGCAAGACGATCTTTTTATGTAAGTTTTCCTCGGCTTCGGTCGACAAGATTGTCTCACGTGAGCTTGACCTTTAATTATGACGTACAAAAATTAATTAATTGATTTCGTCGCGCCAGCGCCATGCGCCAGCAGCCACTCCTCCTGATCCGACCCAGCTCGAGCTGTATCGCTGTTGTGTGGTCGTTAAGTGTGAAAAGTTCTTTTTGTCGTTTACAAGCTCTTTAACAAGATCTAAAATGAGTTTTAATACAGCCAACACTCCTCATCAAGTAACCAATAGAGTCATGATGATAAGACCTAAAGCTTTCGGCTACAATTCAGAGACAGCTGTTGACAATGCATTTCAGATCAGCTCGATCAATAATTGTAGCTCTTCTGAGGCCTCGGCTCAAGCTGTGAGAGAATTTGACGATCTTTCCCACCTCCTTTCCTCTAATGGGATTGAAGTGAACATTGAAGCAGACACCGATAGCCCAGAAACTCCCGATGCTGTTTTCCCAAATAATTGGATATCATTTCACTCCTCCACAGAAATTAAACTACAAACTACCTCCACTATCATAATCTACCCTATGATGTCCATACTCAGAAGACAAGAGAGACGCCAGGACTTGATAGACAAATGGACACGGTCCCTAAATGCTAGCATTATAGACTTGAGTAGCTTTGAAAGTAGCGGCCAATACCTTGAGGGTACAGGCAGTATGGTATTGGACAGGGTACACAGGGTCGCCTATGCTTGTGTATCTGGTCGGACTGACATTGAAATGATTGAAAAGTTTTGCAGCATCACTGGTTACAAGTCTGTTACATTTCGTGCATGCCACAAATCCTTAAATGGAGATCTTGTCCCAATATACCACACTAACGTTATGATGATGATCGGCAAAACGATCTCTCTGATTTGCTTAGAGGCTATACAAGATTCTGAGGAGAAAGAGCGTGTAATGAAAAGTCTTGGAGCTTCCGGTCGTACTATTGTTACAGTGACAGTATCTCAGATGAATGATTTTCTCTGTAATGCATTGGAGCTAAGCAATCAAGATGGAAAAAGGTTTCTGGTCATGTCTACAAAAGCTTATAATGCAATGGACGGAAATCAAAAGAGGATTTTGACTGAAGAGAATGAGCTAGAGTTGGTTCATTGTTCTGTCGATACTATTGAGTCCTTGGGGGGAGGCGGAGTTAGATGCATGATAGCGGAAATATTTCCGCCAAAATGAAACGACTAAGTATAATCGTTAGTATGTCCTCTTATCTGTTATGTGTCACTATGTATTATCATATAATCAATCATTACCTCATTGATGATTTATTGTTCATTTAATGCTTTGATATGTCAATTTCTGCTTCCTGCCTTAAATTTGAATCGAAAATTCCCGCTAAAGTCACGTGAGTAGTAAGCTTCACGTGGTAGATTGTTGTGTCTAAAGCCTACTTAGCCTAGGGACTTGAGCTCTTCCAGCAGAGTACAAGCCGAGGTACAAGCTAATGCTAATGGCTGGCCTTTTTGCTTGCAGACTCTGGAAAGAAGTCGTCTATCCCAAGAGAGAAATGGTTAGTTTTAGTGCTGAGTAGCTGGTCAGCCATTGCAATCAAGCCCCATGAGTATGCCCTCCTCCACTCTCCCTCCCTCTTTCTCAAATTGCATTTCAAGAAAAAGAGAGAGAGGACGGCTCGAGTAGCATTCACAATATTATGACTATCTGCCTATTCTCCTGCTGATTGTAGTTTGTATAAAGCGCCTCTGTGGAAAGGAGCCTTTGTATAAGGTCTAGTCCAGTTAATGCCGTCCTACAAGCTTTAATAAAAAGTGTCTGGAAAAAAGTTGTATCAACTATCCTGTGTCAACAGTTTGTGTAACCAACCATACCATTTCTCCTCTCCTCCTATCTCTAGTACCCAATTTTCGAAGAGTGTGATGTTCACAGCCCTTTGCTTGAGCCCCAGTCTCTCATCATGACTACCAAGGACTTCTTTGATTCCCCAGAGAATGAAGGAGAAGGAGAATATGTTACTAGAGGAGATGAAAGTCGGTTCCCATACGACTCATTTGATGAATGTGATGAGGTCAGTTAGTTTATACTTGTACAATTGATTACTCTATTGGGGCCCACACAATCTGTCCTTAGTACAAAATTTTTTCTCAATAATAAAATAAAAATGAAGTAGAATTTATGTACATGAACAGTCTTTATGCTTCATATTTTTGCATGTTTGTGTAGATCAGGACATTACAAGTTGTAGAGGTCATTTGTAGAGGTGTCCTTGTTTTAGGGCGTCCTTATTAAAGAGGCTACAATGCATGTAATATATCTTGAGTATACTATTATTATTATTATGATTGCATGGTTCTTTTAATATACGCGCAATTGCTTTTCACATTCTTTTCCAAAGTATGCAGTTGCCAAGTGAACTGACCCATGTATTGCATCATACAAACTGGGTTCTCTCCAACAGTGCAGAGGGCATTAATGATAATATTATTATTATTATTATTTAGCTGTAGGATGTTGTTCAATTGAAATGATTAATTATTTGGTTCTCTTAATAAGAGTCTTTATATCTGGCGGTGTTGTGGCTTAAACCCTTTAATTCCTGGCAATAGTCTCTCTAGAGTTTACACACACACACGCTACATATGTTACCTGCCCTGGTACATGTGCATGGTTTTATGTGCCTAAGGGCAAGAGTGTGTAGTAAACAGTGATTAATCTTATAAGTTCACTTTGGTGTCACTTTTGCCTTACGTGTACTGTACATGACCCTCATTTTCATGTACGTGTATATCCATTAATTAGTCACAGTCCTAGCGCTAAGCAGCTGTTAGAAAAGTGCCTTGTTGCTGTGTAGCTCGCTTTGTGTGTGAATTTGCATTAAACAATTTTTATAGTGTGTATGTTTGTGTGTGTGTGTGCTGACTAGATCACTTTTGAAGGATGAGCTGCTACTATAGTGACAAGTTGTGTGGTTGTTATTATTATGTGGGAGGCCACACAATATCACTATCACTACATGCAGGACACTGTGTGTCCCGTACTACCAATTACCATTAGTAATAGTTAGCCTGGTATATAAGCAATCCTACTACTACTACTACTCACATTTTATTAACCAGTGAGAGAGACAGAGAGACAGAGAGAGAGAGATTCCTGATCTCTGGCATCCCTTCCTCCTTGTATATTATTACTACTCTTACTACTAGTAAGCGTGATTGTGCTATAGCGGCTAAGAGCTTCATGTGATTGTCCTGAGGTTAGTGTAATACCAGCTGTTAGTTTTGAGGTTATGCTGAGGCTGTGGGCCTCTAGCACGTGTGTAATACCTGTATCTTAGTTGTGGCTTTGGGTAGTGCCCTTTGTTAGCATAAGGTGTGTGTTTCTGATCCAGTGAATATGTACTTGTATGTAAGACCAGAAAAAGAGAGAGAGAGTGAGTGGGTTTTGTGGTACTAATAGCATCCAGATGTGCTTGCAGCTGGAAGCCTTTGAATTATATATTTTAAACTCAAGGCATTATAATATAATCAATAGTTACAATGGATGGAAAGAAATTGCTGCTAAAGTAATGATAGATGCCTGTTTTTATGATGGATAGATCTCACTATGATATACTGTAGTAATATATTTTAGATATCTCTGTCTCTCTCTGTCTCTGTCTCTCTCTGTCTCTGTCTCTCTCTGTCTCTCTGACTCTCTCTTTCTTTGCTCCATTGACTGGCTACATGTACTCTGGTTCACTCAACTATGCATATATACATGTAGTGTACTTTGTATCCACAGTACTAACAGAATGTGGGCCTGTTATGCAATAAAGCATGCAGTTGTTATGATTATATTATATTATTTAATTTAATTCATTAGAAATACTCCTATACTTGGTGCCTATGCTAATGCTTGTATGAGCCTCCCTTCATTCTGATGGTTGGGGAAAGTATTTTGTTATTTTGATAATTTTTTACAGTAATGGGCGGTAGTTGGTTGACGTGCAGGGCGTAGTGATTGCTGGCACTCGTTTTTGGACTATAATCAAATAAAATAGGGTTAATGGAATGTGAAATATTTAAAGAGTTTGGTTTAGTTTCCATAGCTACATCTCCTTTGTGAAGCTGCACATGAACTTCCAAGAGAGGGGAAGAGAGAGAGAGAGAGGGGAGGGAGAAAAGGGAGATAGAATTTCAGGGGGAGTTAGTTAATGTTGACATTAAATCATTATGATAAATAGGAAGAAAGGGAGGACAAATGCATGTAGTACTATGGTACATGGAAATTTTAAATGTATTTTTAATTTTTGTTCGTAGGAAGAAGACGAAGGTGATTATACTGGAGTTGATGAGATGGAAACAAGAAAATTGAAACTGTGAGTTGAAATAGTTAATGTCTCCCTTTTGGTCTTTCCCTTCTTTACTATTCTGCCCTCTCTCGCTCTCTGTCTCTCTCTAATTTAATTTATGCACATGTCTATTGCCATTAAGCACATTAAAGCAACTCTGCTATCTGAAACTTATTATTAATATCATTACATGTCATTATCACCGTACTCTTAATACTGTATCTTGTAGCTCTCAAATTTCAGGGCAAGCAGTTAGTGTTACATGCATGTACATGTACATACTGAGTCATGGCATGTGATTAGCATGTGATGTATTATGAAGTAGCACGGCCCACCAATGACTAGTATCATTTCCTTGCCATCAATAAGCTACTTGACATATTTTTATTGTTTTTTTTATTGTTTTTGTGAAAGTTTTCCCAAAACAACTTTTATGAAGCATGGTTCTGGAATGAAAAATAATACTTTAGACAGCCATAAATTTGTATAGTCGCCATTAGCATGAGCATTGTCACATGGTCACAACTCACAAACTCAAGCTTTCTACATAGCATAAGGTCATTAACTCATTAATATTTTATTGAATAATGCCGGGGTGTAATTCTACTCTTCTAAAAATCACTGTGCACTGTGCAGAGTAGAGTAAAGGGATAATGGCCGCCTTCTGGTGTCTCTAAATGGTTGTTTATTTAACGGTTGCTATGATACACTGTTGTTGTGCATTACTGACTCATTCCTACTACTAATGATGGACATTTTTGTCCTCTTTGTTAACTCTCCCTTGTAATGTCTACTATGTTCATGTGGACTGTGTAGCGAGTATGTATCTACATGTACATGTATTTTATTCTAGAATATGCCACATATGGCATTTCAAACACATGGCTTTTTGAGAAATTATTTTTTCGCCTTGGAAAATATTTGTTGTATAAGGAATGAGAACGAAATTAAACTCTAACAAATTGCCCGCTATGAGGTGTGTTGACTGTTTGGTTATGTGTGATCCTGTGACTCTGCAATTTACAGTTATTTTAACTACATGTACGTGTATGTGGTATCGGCAGTTACAAAATGTATATAATAATTTCTCAATACTTTATCTGTCCTCTCGTTAACCAAACTTCATTGCCTTCTCTTTATTTTAACTAATCACCTGGTTAATGGCTCTTAAATAAAAAAATACATGTACGGATGTATTTTATGAGCATTTTATTTTTTATGGTAATGGCCCAGATATACCTCTAATCTACCGTAATTAATTAAAATGCCATCATCATTTAATAATTGAACTTTGTTACCCGTGTCTTGGTATCTTCATAATCCCTCTCTTCTTTGTCACATAATATTATCATAATATTATTGTGTATACTTATACAATGATGGCTATGTTGTACACACAGCAAGAGGAGGAGTGGAAGTGGGATGTTCCTGTTAATCTGTAGCAAGGAATTGAAAACATACGTGTATGTATACAAATACACATGTGTGGGAGCTATAGATTTGACTCAGAATGACTTCATTGAAAAATTCCAATCCTTAGATAGGCATGGAAGGCCTATTTGATCTTATTATGAATTACACCTCCACGAACATTGGCATATACATAATTATGCTTATTTATGCATGCCTGCATGAGTTCAGTGTAGAGGCGTGCTGTGTGTGAAATGGTGTGGGTAGAGTAGGGGGTGACTGTATTTTTAATGTAAAAATTACACTGTGACACACTCCATTAGAAAAATGTACACAGAGTATAGTATTGTTGATGCATATTTTTCATTCCAATGGTGAGCGTGTGCGTATGTACATGTACAATGTACATGCATTACGTGTAGATGTTAATGTGTGGTGCTCATGGATGTTAAGGTGTTATGAGTTATGATGACTGCATGGTGCGTGTGTGTGTGTGGGTCCTCTTGTATTTATATCTACTCCTACTGGTAAAATATCATTATAATTTGCTGTTATAGGATATCTTGTTGATTTGTAACTCACTCTCTCTTTCCCTCTCTCCCCCTCCTTTCTCTCTCTCTTTTTGCTATGAGTAAGTGTTTCTTTGGGAGTGTGTTTTATAAAAGCTGGCCTTTATGTCTGTAGATATAACTATATTCACCAGTGTCACCGTATTGTTATTTTTAATGTCTGTCTCTCTGTCTCTGTAATATAGTGGGTGTACAGTATATTTGCTTAGCGTGTACATGTACATTTGCTTAGCGTGTACATGTACATTTGCTTAGCATGTACATGTACATGGTTTTGTTATTTAGTGTCAAGGTTGGGTGTGTCTCCTTGTGTGACTGTCTCAGCTCAGTCTGTATTTGATGACGTACATATGCACATGACATTGTAATTTGATATTTATTTATTTATTTATTATTTATTAATTATTGATATCATGTTTCTGTAGTGTTATCTACTTATTTCACACACACACACACACGCCATCATTATCATCTCTCTTTCCTCCCTTCCTCCCCCTTCTCCCTCCCTCTCTCCTCTCTCTCTCTCCCCCAGTGGTCAGTTTGCTAGTAAATATTATCCTCCTCCTCCTTCATCAAAACCTCCTCGACTACCTCTCTCCAGCGAGAGGAGCAGTCCTTCATTGCCAGCTGAAGGTACGATTGTTATGAAAGGACAGCTAACAGCTGGTAGAGAGAACTCAAGACTGCCTATACCTGGTAATTAAGAGAGAAAGAGAGAATAAAATACAATGTATGAACATGTAGTTGTGCATGTAGCTACGTGTATGTATGTAATACCGTATAACGCTTTAATTTGGCGGAGTTTTATTTTGGCGATTGGCGGTTTGCAAACAGAATCGCCAATATTAAAAACCGCCAATCATTAATGCGCATGCTCAGTAATGCACGTGTACACAAAAATCGCCAAATTAAAAACCGCCAATTACAATTTTACAGCTAAATCGCCAAAATAAAGCGCCGCCAAAATAAAGCGTTATACGGTAGTATAGTAATACTTTTCTTGCTATTGACCAATTCTTTTCATGTTTGAACAGTATCAATTCGCATTCCGGTCATTTTTATTATTTTTTTCTCACCCTCACGCAGGTTCAAAGGCTACTGCCACTCGCTCTTCTCCTAATAAAGTCTCGCCTACGTCAGCCTCAACCACACCCACCTCCTCCTCGTCAGAGTCTGGCAATACGCCTGTAGTCACCCCAACCAGAGACCTAGTTGAGGGTTCTTCTAACAAAGTCTCTCATTTTAAAAACTCGTCCAGCAGTTCAAGACGCTCTCCTTCAGCGTCTCAGCCAACCATACCAAGTCACTTAGAGGCTGGTGACAGCTTAGGGGGAGTGCCCCCACCTGGTATCCTCCTCTCTCCTCAGTTAAGGAGAACTCCCAGATCAACCGGTCTAGGATTGAGAGCTTCTTATTCCTCTCCTACCTCTTCTGTTGTTCCTTCTGGTAAGCCGTTATATCGTAGTGATTCGCTACAGTCTTTCTCGACGAAGAGGGTTTCTCCTGGTCGTCAAGGTTTTCTTCAGAGTAAGGTGCCCTCCGTGGCTTCGAGGATACTACAATTTGAACCGTCTAATTCACCTAGTTCATCTCGTAGTAATAATGGAGGAGTGAGTGTGGCTAATAATAATGGAGTGGGTGTGGCTAATAATAACGGTAATAATGGAGTAACTGCTAATAGTAATAACGGTGTGGCTAATAATGGGGTAGGTGTGGCTAGTAGCTCGTCTGGAGGTGTGGCCCCTCCTGCTGCTCCTGGCGGTGGAGGCTCTAGTGAATCTAAAACTGAGACCACCTCTTTGGTATCAGACTTGAAGCAATCAACAGGTACAGTTTCATTCTTATAATCTCATTCCCATTCTCATTATGCATGTAGTTTCATTCCTATAATCTCATTCTCAGTCATACTAACCTTTCCCACATTACAAGTGTTTAATACAGTACATGTATATACAGTTTATGCTAGTCAATTGCCTTTATATAAGTGATATTGTGTACTTGTTAATGCTCAATTGCACTCTTTCACATCAGATAGTCAATGGTGTGTATCCACTCTTGGCCCATTGTGTGTGTGTGTGTGTGTGTGTGTGTGTGTGTGTGTGTGTGTGTGTTGTATAATGCATATTGTGATCAATGTGTCTCAGTTATGTTAACCTTACTCTTCAGCTTTCATAGGACCGTTGAATGAAGCATAAACCTAGTCAGACAGTCTCCTATCTTTCTTTGTATATATACTCTCAACTCTCTCTCTCTCTTTCTCTTTATAGAAAGCAAGGCTGTTCCTTCAATTGATGAGACAGACCACCATCAGCTGGTACCCCACTCTACTGTCCCTCCTTCTCTTCCTAATACTGACCACCATCACCAGCAGCAACAGGCCATCATGTCAATGAGTGGCTCTACAACCTCTTCAATGGAGGAGCTTTCCCTGTACAATCATGAACACTTTTCTTCCTCTTCTTCCTCCTCCTCCTCATCCTCCTCAAACTCCTCTCAGCGTCACTCTAGGCCCGAGGCTGTTGTTCCTCCTCACAAACACACAGCACCTCCTGGACCTACTTATCCAATGGGGGGTGGTCCTTACTCTCACCATCCTATGATCTATACACGTGGCTCCACTGCTTACCAACCTCCCCAACCTGTACCCTCTACTTACACTATGGGATATCCTCCTAATTCTACTTATGGGAGTTCATTAGATTTATTAAAACCGTCTCCTTCAGGCGGTGGTGGAGGGGGAGGACAGAAGCAACCTCTAGGGCTAGCCACAGCCACGTTGGCTTTGGCTCATAATTCAGCAGCTAATGGAGATGTCGTGACTTTAGTGAGTTGATGCTGTCAAATTGTTTCATGTATAGTGTATGTTGTAGGCAGTGTTGTGTTGTGTAGTATAAGTTTGAGCTACTTTTAACATCAAATTTTGATTCAATGCGTACGTGTACGTGTACCAGTCACAGATTGCATTAATTGTGCGTGCAGTCTTTTTAGAATTATTTTCTCTCTCTCCCTTCATTTCTGTATCTCTTCTTCATTGCAGACATAACATGGCCCCATGTGTTTGAGTGATTGTTTGTCTTGCTACATGTACATGTACTTTCGTCGTCTGGTCGAGCTACTGTGTAGTGTATGTCTGTCTGTCTGTGTGAGGGAATTAATTTCATTATGTGAGCTTTTAAAGAGACCGCAATCAGATTTAATTACACACTTACATCAGTAATGTACACTGACTCATTACTACATGTACCTGTAGTAATACTATACTTCCTTTCTCAGCTCCTCCAGGCTCCATACCTCTTCTTTCCTATAAATTTATTATTATTATTATTATTATTATTGTTAATATTATTGTTATTGTTGTTATTATTATCAAAACAAGAATTAGAAGAGAGAGAAAGAAGATTATTATTGTTTTTATTGTTGTTGTTGTTGTTATTTTTTGTTATTGTTTTTTGTTGCTAAGATACGATCCGCATCCCAAAGCTGGTTCTAATACTTGATTGAATTCTTCGATTTGTTTTGCATTCCTGTGGCTTCATTTCTAGCACACTTATCATATTTGTTCCCACAATAATTTTCTTTCTTTTCCCTTCTCTCTCTCTCCCTCCCTCTCTCTTAGCGTAAATTATTATCATCAGGTGAAGTTGATCCTCTCTCTAGAGATGAGTATGGCTCTACACTGTTACACACAGCTGCTACCTATGGACAGCTCTCTTCCCTTCAGCTTCTTTCTAAAGATATATCCACCTCAGCACTTCTACTCGCTGACAATAACTTCCTCACTCCTCCTCTGCTAGCTATTCAGGTAGGGTAGGGTAAAATAATGTGAGATAGTAGCACTAATGCAGAATTTTTATGATTGATCTATTGTCTGTAGTATGTGTAGTTTTATTTATAGAAAATGCACAGTTCTCTGATTTATATTGTACATAAATTGTATGCATAATAATAATAATAATATAATAATAATAATTAATAATTGTACTAAAGGCTGGTTTACAATATGACATTAGGCCAACGTACCGTCAATTTTTAATCAAAAGCGTGGGCGATTTGACCTCGTGATGCATGCTTTCCACTAGAATAGAACCAGATTCTATTCTAGCATCAACATAATGTCAGGACTAGCGTAATATTGTAAACCAGCCTTAAGAGTACAAATGTAGTTGGGTAGTGGTCTTCATGTACATGTACAGTACATGTTGGCTGGTTATAATGTTAAGTTGATTTTCTCATGATGTGTTAATTGTTAATATGCATGTACTTGATGTACTGTTGTCATAGAAGAATTCTCGAGGGAGAATTGGAAGAGAGAGTGAGGGAGGAAGGAGGGAAGTGGGAGAGAGTGAGAAAAATTGTGGGAGGCTAGTTTAACATTGTTATGATTCATGTGTACACATTGCAGTAATTAATTGTATGGAGATTGGTATCTTATCAAAAATGACTGTAGGAGATATTTTATTATATTTTGTAATGCATGGAAGACTTGGAAGTGTTTAAAAAGCCTCTACTACAAACTCCTTGTGGTATGTAACTGTGTATAAAGTGTGAGTTGATTTCCACTTCAATTTTTCAAGTTACAACCATGTTAAGAAAATGCTAAAATTCTGAAAAATACCCAAGGCTATAGCCCATGGTTTTTTCTGAAAAATGGCTCCGAAATCACCCCAAATTTTTATTACATTTTCTGATACATATTGATGCCCTTATGCTATGTAGAAAGTTTGAGCTGATTCTCACTTCAATTTTTCGAGTTATGACTATTTTTTTTTAAATGGCCGATTTTTGAAAAACACCCAAGGCTATAATAGCCCATGGTTTTTTCCAAAAAATGGCTCCGAAATCACCCCAAATTTTTATTACATTTTCTGATACATATTGATGCCCTTATGCTATGTAGAAAGTTTGAGCTGATTCTGACTTCAATTTTTCGAGTTATGACCATTTTTTTAAAATGGCCGATTTTTGAAAAACACCCAAGGCTATAGCCCATGGTTTTTTCTGAAAAATGGCTCCGGAATCACCCCAAATTTTTATTACATTTTCTGATACATATTGATGTTCTTATGCTATGTAGAAAGTTTGAGCTGATTCCAACTCCAATTTTTTGAGTTATGGCCATTTTTTAAAAATGGCAGATTTTTGAAAAACACCCAAGGCTATAGCCCATGGTTTTTTCTGAAAAATGGCTCCACAGAATCACCCCAAATTTTTATTACATTTTCTGATACATATTGATGCCCTTATGCTGTGTAGAAAGTTTGGGCTGATTCCGACTTCAATTTTTAAAGTTATGACTATTTTTAAAAAATGGCCGATTTTCGAAAAACACTCAAGGCTATAGCCCATGGTTTTTTCTGAAAAATGGCTCCAAAATCACCCCAAATTTTTATTACATTTTCTGATGCGTATTGATGCCCTTATGCCATGTAGAAAGTTTGAGCTGATTCTGACTTCAATTTTTCGAGTTATGACTATTTTTAAAAAATGGCCGATTTTCGAAAAACACTCAAGGCTATAGCCCATGGTTTTTTCTAAAAATTGGCTCCAAAATCACCACTAATTTTTATTACATTTTCTGATGCGTATTGATGCCCTTATGCTGTGTATTAATTCTCTTTCTCTCTCTCTTAGAATGGTCATGTTGATTGTCTAAAGTATCTCGTTGAGGAACTAGGCACTCCCCTCTCTGTACCTGATGCTGGAGGAGAAACACTCCTTCATCATGCCGCCTTTCACGGACAGACAAAGTGTCTCGAGTTTCTCATTCACAGAAAGAAAAAATCCTCAGAGTCTGTTGGTAAGCGTAGGCGTGGCTTGTTACCATGGTAATGGTTTTTCATTCCGTGTAGGTTTTGTTGATGACAGTGGAGTGTCTCCGGCTCATTTTGCAGCTCAAAGAGGACACCTTGACTGCCTTAGGGTGAGTATACTAATAGAATATTGTGATTTATTGACAATTAAAGAGCAATATTTTGTGAATTTGTTGTTTATGGAAATTATTGATTGGCTATTTTTATACCATCAATCTTGTGCGATGGGTTGTTGAGCATCCATCTTTTATATTTGAGCAATAACTAATCTTACTTGTATTTCCTCACCTTTTAAAACATCTTTTACGCTAATCCTTTAATTACTCCTCCCCCCTCTCTCTCCCTCTTCTTTAGTTGATGATTAATTACGGTCTTGATGTCACAGCCCCCGACCGCGAGAACATGAAGCCAGCTGACTGGGCTGACGCCACAGGCCAGCACTCTTGCACTCATTACCTCCTAATGGTTGAGCTCTGCTGGCAGCTCTCACGAGACGTCTCCATCTTAACAAGAGATATTGAAATGTACTTATAGCAGAGATTATTATATTGTGTATTTACGTATAGGGTGGGAGGGTGAGAGATTAATTGAAGAGTTTTTTGTATGATCTATTTGTAATATTTTCTTTTCATTTAGGCTTCGTCATGAGAACAACCAGCTCCACGAGTTATTGGATCTGAGAGATAAAGAGCATCACACGGCCATAGCCAAACTCTATCAGCAACACCAGGACACCATCCAAAAGGTACTGTGGTGAGAATTAAGCATATGTGTGGCTAAAAATATTTAATTAAATTTTTTAAATGAGCGTTTTTATTATAATAATTATTTTTGTAGTTTCACGAGCAATATGCCGGTATTACAGTTTCTGCTTTATTGAGAGGAGAGGAAGCCACGCCTCCCCTCCTTCTCCCTCCCACTACGACCGCCAGTGGTGGAGTAATGAATAAAATTGGTTCAAGTCCTGTTCATAAGACGAGCTTATCTAGCAAAGGAGGTGGAGGTAAGGGAACTGAAGGAGCTAAGGAAAAGAAAAGAGTAAAGATTGTACCAGGTAAAGTTCTAAATGAAACCTTTTTATTCTTAGTCCTTTTGTCTTGCATTTAATAATAGAAATAATAATTAATGATAATAGTTTATCTTGTTGATTATTTTATTCTAGAGCCATTGACAATTGAAGAAATAGAGCCACATGAAGTGTTGAAGTAAGTAGTAGGATTAATGACAAACACCTTGTACTATAGTACAGCAACTTTAAAAATTTATTTAAAAATTTCATAATAAGAATTGTATTTCTCATAAAATTTTCATGTTACCTCTTTATTTTGTTCCTATTTATAGGAGAGAGCTAAGTAATGTTGAACAGCGTTTGCATGCGAGTCGTGAGAAGAGAAAACTCCACCCGGTAATGGCTACAAGATCATTCTCACCTCTATCTCCAATTGTGAAACGGATGAACAGTGTCGAGAAAGAAGACGACAAGAATAATGCAAATAATAATGACAAAGACAACAAAACGTAAGGCATGCATGAACCAACAAGCATAATCTTTTACTATAAAAGTATAAATTAATGCTAATAATACTAATGTTATGTTAAGATGTAATGCTATTTTTCTTTCTATTAGTGAATTATCAGCATTTCTGTTTGAAGGTGTTCAAGACTCTCCTCCAGAAGATGCTAAAAGGAACATCCAACCTTTTAACCCTCATACAAATGACTCACATTCTCACTATCATCACACGGCACCTTCCACTAGTCATCATCATTATCCAGAGCATCGTAGATCTCTTGACAATAGCAACATAAGACTAACGTCGCAAAGGTCGCCCCCACAGGATCGACAGTCCCTCCCTCCTCAAAGATCACCTCCTCAGGAACCAATCTCTCATCAATGGTCACCTCCTCAGGACGTTACGTCTCGTTCGGCCCCGCCCTCTCAACGATCGCCCCCTCAAGATTCCTCCTCCTCCTCATCACGGTCACAGAAATCCCCTTCGCATAGATCTCCACCGCAGGACGAAGTCTTGCATTACCAGTATCGTGTGTCTATGAATAAAGAAACGGAATTACCGCTAACATCTTCTTACTCTATGAACGATTTTACTCACGCCGGTTATAAGTATGCCCCGTCTGCTTTACAGCAGTATAAATCGCCTCTCTCTTCCGGCAAGGCTAATAGCTACACTGTACATCATCACCAGCACTCATCTCATCCTCCACAGCAGCAGTCCTCTTCGGGGAACCCTTCGTCTTCAAAACATAAGCTCAAAGGTCAGGACATGTACGGGTTGCATTCTAACAAGACTCCGACCCATTCTTCAAAGTCTCAGACTCATCCCAGCAAGTCTCATTCTCATGCCGGCAGCTCTGGGTTGTCTAAACTTCAGTCTGTGAGGAGCTATTCGACGAAAGAGGCAGTTCATAGAGGAGGAGGAGAGGGTCATCCTCTCTCTGTCAGTCATTCCAGTCCACAGCATAAAACTAAATATAGTTGAGTTAAAAATAGTAACAGCATAGCTTTAATAATAATAATAATAATAATAGGAATTAAACATATTACTGTACAACTGATTGTATAATAATAATAATAGCTATTATTACTATATTAATTTATTAATCAGTCATTAAATTAATAATGTTAAATATCATCTCTCTCTTTCTCAAATCTCTTCTCTCTCATAAGTCTCTTGTACAACAATCATTATAATTATTATTAAACTTTAAAAATTATACACTAAACAATCAAAAAATAATAAGAAGTGTTATCATTTATAAGTTTAAGAAAGATCTTCTTCAGTAACTCCTTCATATTCCAACAGATCGAGCAACACTAAATAAAAGAATTTTAAATTGTGAATAAACTATTATTTTCCAACACACTCCTCTCTCCCTCTTACAGTCTTCAACATTGGTTCCCTTGAAAGCTTCGTGTCCTTTTGTGAGGCTTCCTATGAAAGTGTGATAGCATTCACTCTTATGCTCATCTATGAATCTGTCACTGGAACAGACAAGATGAACCAGTCTCACCATCTCCATAGCACATAACTTCCTATACACCGGAAGAATGCTGTTAAGGAGAGCTTTGTCTAAGAATTTAGTGGCTACCAAGATTTTCCACAGGATTTTGGCATATAATACATACTTATCAGAAAATTTTCAAAAATCTGACTAAAGTCCCTGTACAATATACAGTACATGCATGGGTTTGAGACAAATTTTGCCAAAATTGAAAAGGAGAGGATTCTCTTGTTGGAAACCCTGATAGCCAGCTACCTGTGCTCTCTGTTAATCCTGTCTTCCTGTAGCTCATCTGATTTCAAGTCTGTGAGTGCATTAAGAAGTGAGCTAGCCAATGACTTTAAAAACTAAATAAAAAACAAATACAACATACATACGTATCCACACTGTACATATATATATACATGCTATGGTTTCAAGTGCAATAATACCTGAGGACTGAGATATCTCCTTGTGGTGAAGCTGAGGGCAGATATCAAAGGACTCGGGTATTATACATTACTGATACACATGTACAGTGTATGACTACACTTGCCTGATATGAACAGCAGTCAGATTCATAAAGTACTTTCTCTCCTTCTGGAGTGGAAGCAAGAGCAGAAAGCATTCTAGTCAGCTATATGTACGAGTGCTAATATACTATTAATATAAAATACTCAATCTGTAACCTGTAGCTCTATCTTAGTTTTTAATTTAATCGATTCTATGATTGCCCTTGGAACATAAAGAGCATA